CTGCTCTGGTGCCTGAAGCACCTCCTCCCCCTCCTTCTTCACTAACCTTGGATTCTGCAGAATTGTTTCTCTCCTGTTGTTAACTCTTCTCCTCTGGCTTCTCTTCAGCAGATTTTTTTTTCTCTTTTTAAAATATGTTATCCCTGAGGTTGTACCAACATTGTAGATCAGCTTGACCTTGGCCAGCAGCAGGTCCATCTTGGAACCAGCTGGCACTGGCTGTATCAATGCCATGGGGAAGTTTCTAGCAGCCTCTCACAGAAGCCACCCCTGTAACTGCCCTGCTACCAAAATCTTGCCACACAAACCCAGTACATTTGGAGGAAAACCATTCTTCCAAATGGGATTGCATTCTTTTTGTTCCATGCAAATTAATCTAAATTTTTGTCATTTACACCTTTATTTTCCATATATGATGCTTTATAAGGCATGTACCTGTGTGAAAATTGATATCCAGTACCTGGAGGATTAATTTAAAAATTGGATTCTCCCTGATCATAAAAGTAAAAACTCTTGGAGGAATAAAAACTTTATGAAGCTTGAATAACCCAAGACTTTGAAAGCATAAGGTTTTCTGGAGAAAGAGAGAAGTAGCAACTCCTTTAAAAGTCAAGATGGGGAATCTAGTAAACATCTAGTAGACCTGAGGATAAACCACAAGCCTTTGAAATGAGTACTAATTATACCAGTCCTAGACCCTAATTTTTCTCTATGGATATAATCTTGTGTGTTATTTGGAGTCTGCTGGGGCCTGTAATAGCCAAAAAGGTCAGGTGAATGGTCTGAAATGTGTCAATTGTCACAGAACAGGCTTTGAACATTTTTTGAGCAGCCAGCACATTTGTGAAGGTGGAAAGGTGCTCTGTTCTGCTTGGTAATATTGTGGAGGGTGAGGAGGCCTGCAGGCAGTGGAATGCAGTGGAAATCACAGATTCACTTCTCTCAGCTCTGGAAACAATCATGCTGGCTGCAGATGAAAGGTCAGGAGTGAGAAAGAAGGTAGAAAGAAAGGTGCTAAACAATCAGAGCAAGTAAGAACAGTATATATGGATGTTGTTACTACCAGTATGTAATGATCTAATAGCAGTTCAGTACTAATAGACTTAGAGTCGTGGTATTATCAAGCACTAGTGTGTTGCTTGTCATTGCTTTGATGCACAAGTCACCTCTACTTCAGCTTCTTACCCTTCTCCACTCTCAACTGGACAAAGCAAACCCCTGCTCTGAGCAGTCAGCAATGATGCAGTTAGGGTAACTAATGCGAGTAGGTTCTTTCACAGGTAAATGACTGAGTGGATTTCCTTCCTGAAAGGAAAAAGTCACCTTGTAGTGACTGTAAAAGAAGAAAATGCTTGCCAAACTTTCAGTTTCTCTACAAAGCTGCAAGGGCAGGCAGAAGAATGGACAGGGATATTCCCAGACTAGAGCATGCCCACTCACACTATACATCTGCCTTCCATGCAGAGATGCTTTTTCTCAGCAAAGTAGGCAAAAGAAGTGAAAGTTAAGTGAGATTTGCTACAGGCAACGTTACTGGGTAAGAATATCTGGACTTTGTATAGGAAATGCCCGAGTCATGACAACGGAGAGAATATTCATATGGATTTTGGACATGTTTCTGGGATAACCTGAAGCTTCCAAGACAAAATAGCAAAGAGCCTTTGGGCCACACAAGGTTGAAAATGTTAAAAAAGTGTAAATCAGAAAAAGGATATATTTTTTTGTGTGAGAAAGAAGACCGAATCATTGCTAAGAAGATAATTTCAGTATTAGATAACAGAGCTCCTTTACCTGGGGAGAAGATATGTATTTTGCCTTTGAGAGAATATGAAAAGAATGTGGAAACTCCATCCCTGGCAGTGTTCAAGGCCAGGTTGGACAGGGCTTTGAGCAACCTGGGCTAGTGGAAGGTGTCCCTGCCCATGGGATGATGATCTTTAAGGTCCCTTCCAACCCAAACCATTCTATGGTTCTCTGTCTACAACAGAAAGACTAGGAGTGGGAGAGAGAGAGAAACAAATTTATTGCAAACACTTTTTACGGGTAAGTATATCCAATTATTCCTTATGAACCACACTTGAATATGAATTTAGAGGATGACAGCTCTAAAGAAGTTGGAGAACATGACTGAAACCCCTAATATCTGGTCCACCCAGATATTAGGACACTGTTACTTTCCCAGCTTCTTCCCCTCATGTGAAAGGAGTTCATCCTATGGTAAATACAAGCTGTGTATGTGCATGGATTTCGTTGTGGAAATAGCTGAAAAAGAAATGATCGTCAGCCTTGAGTGAGTCACTTCCAGATGATAATTCCTAGATGAGTTAAATTAATAAAATTGTAGCCTAGGCAAGTCTCAACTTCCCTGGTTTATTTCTTCCTGCATGGTTAGAGAAATGAGTATTGTCAACTGAATTAAAAAAAGATAAATGGTTTATTTTTCACATAGTAATGCAGTTCACAGGCAAATGTGCAATAGTTGGGTTTGCAGCATTTGAAAAAAAGGTGTTAACTGAAGATTCTGAGTGACAGAAAGTGAGAACATAGGTTTTTCATGCTGTGAAACAGAAAATGAGAGCACTGTACAGAAAGGATAGCCATAACTTTTAAGGTTTTTTTTTTTTTTATAGTGTTCTAGTATGAAGAAAAATTGCTGTGTTACATTAAACGAGTTTGTTCAATTAATCCAGTTGTCCATTTGGTGAGTGCAGTATTGTTCACCTGGAAAGGGGAAGGAAGGAAGGAATGAGTTCCATATTGAATTATCTGTTTTGATTTGGAGAAATGACTGTGAAAGAAGAATATTTGATGAAAAATTGGAGAAGGTTTTTTATCCTTGGAAGCTACCAGATTTGCTGACCCACTCAAATTGCTATGTTAAACATTCTCCCAAGTCTAGCAGGCAGGCTGCAGATTTTGTACACACCCCTATAGAAAGCTTTACCTTATCACTACAAGCTGTCAAACTGTCCCATCACTACAAGACAATATAAAAAGCTGTCTGCTATAAACCAAAATACCATTTTGTGAAGAATATGAACCATTCATATAGTCAATGTATTCAACAGTGCTATGAAGATTTTTTAAAAACTCATTTCAACTACTGTGTTCCAGTGAGCCACATTAAGCCTTTGCTGTACTGATTGTGCAGCATTAACATCCATTCCAAGTAATAGCGTGGCTAGTGAATCAGTAAAGGGCTCTGTAATGGCTTTAGTAATGAGCTTATTATTTTTATTATTTACCTTTAGCTGATACAGTGTGTCCTGAATATTGGATACAGGTGACTATTTTCTCAAATGAAGAATGAATAAAGCTGGAATCATTAACTTGTGACGAATCCTGGGTGATCATTGCTGTGGTATCTTGATACATAATTGAATTTAAATTTGATATTATATCTGCTTCCAGTGAACTTGACTGCTTGCAGAAGAAATAAAGAGGGCATTTGCCCTAAACAGCACATGCAGAACTGTATGTGGAAGGTCTAGAAATTTAGTATTTACTGCAAGAAACTGAATGCTTTAAAGGACTTAAGTAATGAAAGACTGCTGGGTCTTGATACCTTCTGGGAAAATTTTGCCAAAGCTTAGAATTAGCTCAATTTTGAGGCATTTTGCGGAACATGTAGTCCAAAAAGTGTGTTCTTGTAATGGCTAAAGGAACTACTGATTTTTGTTACACATGTAGAAGGCAAATTGTGCTCTCTGTGATCTGTGGAAAACTTAGAGTCTTTCTGCATGTCAGAGTTTATTTTTATCTATGAACATGGCCAATGTCATTTTAGGAATGGTATCTGGGTCCATGTAAACTTCCTTCAGAATATCCTTATTCTCACTTAAGGCAATAATCAAGCAAAGATCAAAGACAAAAATATCATTGTTATGTGGCATCCTTGTTTTAATGAACAGCGTTCATGTCTTAACGTACATAGAAGGTTTTCTGCAGAGCTAAGAGGATCTTCAATGTTTCTCATAAAAAAGATTCTGCAGAATTTGAATATGCTGTGGTGTCTGTGCTCATATGCAGATCTAATAGGTGGGAATTAGGCAGTTCTTTACTCCGTTCCTGACAGGGTTCTTTGCTTTCTTTTCCTTACAGCATAACAGCTGGCAAAATATTTTTGAGACAGAGATATATAGAGCTATCCTCTTGTAGAGGGTGCAGACAAAACCTAACATATGGAGGGTATTTGCATAATGTACAGTATCTGTGATGAGAAGGTAGATAGTTTTTCTTGCATAAATTGAGTATTACATATAACATGGGAAGTTGAATGAAGATTTGCACCTTAATAAGCCACAGAATTCTGCTAAATGGTCTATATATTTTGAGTTTTGATGTATTAGAAACAACGTTCTAGTTACTACAGCAATTCTTCTTGAATCAGCATATATCCGGTTTCTGTTCCTTCCTTTTTACATATCTATCTATTAGGTAAATTTTGTCCTACTCTGTATTTATATCAGTTATGTAATGCTAAATAATTTGTCCACAATTTGGCTGTTGTCCTGCAATAAATATTCTATCTGCATGTGAATTCATGAAAACACTAGGAAACTTCAGGTGCAATTCTGAACATACAGTGTAGAATCTGGAGTTTGTTTTAGAAACCAGAAATGTCATGCATTTAAGCAGTCACCATGTAGTTTATATTTAGCAAAACCAAAATGGAGGTCCTTCTTTGCCTACACAAAACACATGCATAGGGCTGAATGTTTGTTGCTTCAAAGTGTAAACTCTTTTCTTCTGAAAGTTTGTAGTAAAATTAAAGCTATAAGAAATAATACAACTTTGTGGAATGTAGTAATTATACTATGCTGTATTTCTTTTATGTGAAAAACGTGCACAAAATTAATGCATCTCATTAAAGTGGAATGTTGGTGCTATGAGAGTTAATACAAACTAGAAGATCACAGAATTACACAATCAAGATGACTCTCTGAAAGTAGAATAACTTACCAAACCATTTTTGTGTGTGTGTTTGTGTATTAAACTAGCTATACTCATCGTGTGGTTGGCAGTGGAATCAAAGCTCAGTCTGCAAATCCAGAAGTAAAAGTGAAGGGAACAGATCCTGTAATAAGTCAAATTATTGACAAGCTGAAACATGTTATTCAGGTAAGCTGCTTTTACCTATAGCTATAGTGTAGTACTAAAGAACACTCTAGTAGTGAAAGTATTAATTTACTTTACATTAATGGTTAATTTTTAATTCAAGTTACTGCTCAGTGCACCTCAACAGCAAAACACTGCTTGCTCATTGTCTCACTTCAGTTGTTAAAATGATTTAGTTAAAAGGTTTGCATATGTTAGATAAGTGTAGGAAGTCAGATTCTGACAGCTGGACCATCTGTACCTGTGAGCACCCCATCTTGTCCTTGCAGTGAGCGTAGAGTAGCACAAACAGTATAATTTAGGGATATTAACTGGTTGCATATGTTTAAAAAACAATAGAACATAATTTCCCTCTTCCCTCTTTACTAAATCTAGGTTCTTTCTTAGCTAGTCTTGCTGTGAGGATTTTTGTTTAGATGCCAGATAGAAAAGCTAAGAAGTTTGAAGAAGAATAACCTGCTTGCTGAAGGAGTTGGTGTTCATTACCAGATGTACGTATCTGTGAGTTACTAAATTTAAGGCTTACAAGTGAATTCTGACATGGTTCTGCACATAACATTGTGATATGTTTAAAGGATTACAGGTATATTCTGTAACGTGCTGTATCTATATGCACAGATAGGCAGAACTACAGGAAAAAAAACCTGATTCTTTTGAAACCAACAATTTTGCTGACAACTCTGTATTTTGATTTAAAAACGTAAGTTTCCACTCTGATCTGAAGACGCAGTGATAAGAAATGTTTTATTGGAATTTCTTGTCAGTGACCCCATCCAAGGCAATATCCTGTCATCTGCTCCTGTAAAAGGAGAGGCTACTTAGGGAGGGCATGCATGCTTGGCATCTTTATGGTCTCCACTCCCCTTCTCTACCTCATTCCCCAAACATGAGGATTAGAGACATTAGACAGCTCCTCCTTGCCTAGTGCATTTAGTTCCATCTAAGGACTCACTTTAATTTTGGTTTTCCATCTTCTTCGCAGCTTTTAAATACAGTTTCCCAAATGCTTTCTGGAGATGAAATATTACTGATAGCTTAATGATAAACTCTCTTGGTTCTTATTTCTCTATTTCTGAACAATAACTCTTCTCTGACAACAAAGAAAAGAGTGGTGAAATAGGATAAAAACATAAAAATTTATTTTCTGTCAGTAAGGTTGTTTTCTGGGAGAAGTGGCATCCAGATTGAAGCTCAAAGGCAGTCATTATTCTTTCCGTCTTAAAAGAAATATCTTCTATAGCCCTCCAGCCTTAGCATGCTTTTGTCTCTCTTTATTAAAATGGTGACTACAATGGTGAAAAAATGAATACAGTTTTCCCTCCAAAGAGATACTATGACTTAATTAAGAACCACAAATTACAGTGCAAAGAAAACCATTGCAAGTATTACTGGATAAGTCTCAAGGTCTTTCATCTATCAGGAATGCCCTCTTTCTTTGATATTAAATCTGCACTTTACGTTTCATTGTGTTGTTTTCCTCTAGAGACTTGTTTCCTCAAGTGAGGATCTAAAAGAGTGGAATAGAACAACTCCGTTATAAGGTATTTCATTTTGAGAGCTTATATGCCCTTGTCCCAAAAGACTACAGTGGGTCTCGGGGAGAAGGACATATAATTTACATACTGCAAGTCTTACTAACCTCCAAATATGTTATCTTTCTATGGGATAGTTTTCTTTCTTGCAGCTGAGTATGGAAATAGGGTCAGAGGATAAAGAGAGAATCAAATTCCTCAGAGCCCTGACATATAACTGCTTTTCCTCAGATAAAAGGGCTGAGCAAACTGCAGAAAAAGCTTTTTTCTCTAACATTTGCTGCTTGGGAATGGAGGATGGGGAGTGTAAATTAGAGATACACATACAAAAGATCACCTTTTTGTCCTCTGTGATATGAAAAGGATGAATCACATATTAAGCTTATGATGGACAGATTAAATAAGGGGAATTTAATGGGTTGTGGTGTTGCCTCAGAGATAGACGGTGTCATACTTAAGTCTAGCACTCTATGCAAGTAGTATTACTGCACTGCAAAAGTTTAAATAGCTGATTTAGTAAAAAAAAATATTTGTCCTGTTTTTCAGAACTCACAATTCCTACCATCGGTAAAAGTTTATATATTGTAATTTTGCTTTAAGGTGACAGAGATTGGCAGGGTAATATATAACTTGCTATTTATGGAGGCAACTATCTATATTTTATAAAAAATCTATGTTACTGCAACCTTGCTTGCTGAACAAGTACATTTTTGTTTAGTTGTGTTTTGTATGTAGCCATTTGTTCTCTGTGTTAGGAGAAAAGAAATATGTGGTAATTCAGGTTTATACGACTTTTCACATCAGCTCTTAAACATTTCAAGATGCAAGATATCCAAGTAGCATTTCATTCTGTCTCATGTTGTCATAATAGGATATGGTCCTTCCTTCTCAACCACAGTCAGAGCTCTGTGTATCAGTGTAGTATCAGTATAGCCTGGTTTTCATTTGCTTGTACAGCCTGTCATGGTACCAAGATATTCAGGACTGAACAGTCTCTGCCACTTTGTAAATATCAGTACGTGGCAAAGAATCAGAAGTTTTACTTCTGGTAATTTTCACAGTAAAAATGGTGAAATGCACTGAAACATAATTTAATCAGTGATAACCCGTGGCATTTATTTGCGGCAGGGGTGAAATTCCGTTCTTTCATTAGACACTGCCTTTAGATGTTTAAGCTTCTCTTATATATAGGTCTAGTCCCTGGACCTTAGAGAGCTGTTCATTTGGCCATATGTAAATGTATGCTTCAGGATAAGTAGAACAGTAGTTCTTTAGTCTTGCACAATATAAAAGGAGTTTGGATACATTGCCCACATGGTGGCATCTAAACTGTAAATGCCTGTAGTTAGGTGTCTCGTCTGGAGGATTTCACCTTTGTGTCATGTTTCTGAGCCCTTTCCAAGAGGTTGTCAGTTTGAACACACAAGCTAGAAATGTATCACTTTCTAAAGAGAAATATTTAGCACACACATATACATACGTATATATATGGGGAGCTCTTAAAAAAAAAATAAAAATCTCATGATTATATATAATTTTCTAATTATTTAAAAAATATTAAGCCATAGAAGCACTAATTTGAAAAGGATTACCAGTTTTGCATTTAGAGTGCATAATTTAAGTCAGATTGAAAAATATATCCTGATTACATTTTGTCCTTTCAGACCAGAAAAAGTAAGTCTCTAGTAAATCCAGGGTAGAAAAACTGTTAGGAAGCTTCATTGTTTTCTGAAACCTTTTCTTTTTCTCATCAAAGCAGATGACCCCCTTTCTCACCAGTTACACTGAACTTCCCTTCTTTCTTTCAAGAGTCCCTGCATAAGTGTAGGAAGGTGAATATTCTGAGTTATAAAGGAAGAGTCCATGTAAGAGATACTGAGTGAACTCAGAAACTTAGACTGTACATATTTATTGTACAGATGACTAAATATTACCAAATACCAAAAGAAGGACAGATAACCTTGTTGCATAAGTGTCAGTATATCTTCCCAGCAGGCTGTCATTTCTGGTCACTTCTCCTTTGTGAGAGGCTCACAGTAATCCTCCTTCTTTTTCTGTAAATTGTGGATTTACCAAAAATCAATAGAACTTTTTGCTTCCTCTGGACCCCGACTGCTATAATCTATACTCTGGACTCCACAGGTTTGTATTCACAGCAACAAGGTGCAATTAGAGGAACTAACACAAACTCTGCTGAACCAGTCTGTGCTGAAAATGGCTTGACAAAGTCACCTTTTCTGTAAAAATCCTTACTTGTACAGATGGGTGTTATGGAGTGTTTTAAATGATGGGCTCTTCTTCATTTATCTTCACGGTAGGCAAATAATGGGTTCAGTGCATAGTCTCTTATGTATTACTATCTGCAACTATCACTCTAATAGGCAACCATGATAAGTAGTCAGTTGCATATGGCAGCAATAATAATGGTAATTATTTTTCTTTCTTCCCCGATAATTTAAAAACATGATTCATTTGTCTTTCCTGCAAGTCCAAATACTGAGGTTATGAGTAAGTTATGATATTTTGGTGCTGTGACTACAGCTGATTGGACCTCGGTCATTTCAAAGTTTTTCTTCCTTCAGTAACAATCTCAAAAAGATACTGCTTTTGAAAACAATAAATGTTACTTGGAGCTCATATTTTTACTGGTGAGATAAAGACTTCATAATTTTAAAAAATGCTACCACAGTAGAAAACACCTCTGTGTCTGTCTGTCTAAATTAGTCAGACCAAATCTCCCTCTGGAGATTTCTAGAGGCACCTGCCACTCTATTGACTATACTGGAAATTTAAATAAGGATAAATGATTTCCTATTTCCAGATGCAGCAAAAGATGTGCCTCAACTTATTTGGGAGGGATCCTGTCTTGTACAGCTATACCACTGGACTGGTTGCTGATATACATGGAACTATTTACTTTGTCCACAAAGGACTGAAAAGTGTCACTAATGGAAGTGGCGCCTGCATCCTTTAAGTGAATAGAGGCTGTTACTACTTCATAAGACATTACATGTAGTTGACAATCTAATTTTTTCTTTACTACTGGTCATTATTATGGCATGATAAGCATGGATATGCACCATGCCATCATTTACCCATTTACCTTGCTCAAAAGGGTTACAAAAACAGTGAGGTGAGATTTTATTTTGACACTGATTTGTCATACTAACAACTAAACCTTCCTGCTGTGTTTTTAAAGCTTTTATCGAAGTACCGTATCACGGGAAAATAAATACATATTTTCACAAGAGCTGTTCTAGTGTGTATTGGAAATGATGATGAATACATTACCTGAGTCCTCATCCGCACATACAAAGAACCATGTTTTTAAATTATTCATATGCAAGATGTGACACTTGCAGTTGTGCTTCCCTTTGATCGCCGATACCAAGTTTGTGCCTTCTTTAGTATTATGACAGTCATCTAATAGTTAAAATCCCTCTGCTTCTTAGAATATTTCAAACTGCTGTA